GTGGAATGTTTGTTTAGGGTGATGGCTTTTCATGTGTTAAAATATCAGTTATTTCGAAACAATTTTCAATGCCAACTTATGCCTATTTGAATAGACACAAGATAATAATGTAGTTTCGAGGGAATTAATGCTTTCCTTATGTGTTGTGGCTTTACATTTAATGAAGAGTTTACTACTGAAGATATTGATGAATTATAGAGTCATACAGCACGGCACCAGACCATTCAGTCCAACCAGACCATGCCAAACATTATCCCAATCTAAACTAGTCCCACCTGCTGCTCCTGGCCCATATCTCTCCAAACCTTTCCTATTCATATATCTATCCAAATGTCTTTTAAATGTTGTAATTGCATCCGCATCTACCACTTCCTCAGAAATTTCATTCCACACGTGAACCACCTTCTGTAAAAAATTGGCCCCTATGTCTTTAAATCTCTCTCCTCTCACTTTAAAAATGCACCTCCGAGTCTTGAAATCCCCCATCCTAGGGAAAAGACAACTACCATTAACTATATCTATACCTCTCATTATTTTACAAACTTCTGTCAGGTCGCCTGTCAACCTGCTATGCTCCAGTGAAAGTAGTCCCAGCCTATCTAGCCTCCCTCTATAACTCAAACCTTCAATACCCAGCAACATCCTGGTAAATCTCCTCTGAACCCTCTCCAGTTTCATAGTATCCTTCCCATAACTGGGGGACCAAAACTGGACACAGTATTCCAGAAGAGGCCTCAATGTTCTGTACAACCTCTACATTATTTCCCAACTCCTACACTCAAAGGACTGAGCAATGAAGGCAAGCGTGCCAAAAGCCTTTTTAACCACCCTGTCTGTATGTTCTTCTAATTCAGTTTCTGAGAGCCCATATGTTAACACATATACAGAAGCTATTCTTGCCATGTGACTGCATCACTTAATAAATGAGTTAATAGGAAATGAAAAAGTAGTCCCCAACAATCCAAAAAGAAAAAAAAAGACCCATATTCGTCAGTACTAACTATTCCCTCCAAAGTCGGAGCTGTCTGCTAAGTTGAAGCTGTACTTAAGCTTTTGAGAGTTCAAATCATTTATACAAATTATGAATGGTAACCCTGGTACTGAAATTGTCAAACACTACTTTGTACCTTTTGCCTGACTGAACTACTATTCATAACTGCTACCACAGCTAGTTCACTACTCATAGTGGAAAAATTGTTCAGATGGCCAAAACATTGGCTCATTTTGGTTCTTGGAAGCGATGATGCTGGTATAAGACTGAAATAATTTATCCAATACTGCAGGCAAACTTTTTGGGATTTAATCTACAGCATGACTTGTTTCCAATAGCAGGCATACGGTAAACTCTCAATTAGGATTGAAAGCACAAGTACTGACAGCGTACATGAAGCTTTGAGAAGACAATGAGAAAAAAAGCAAACACCTCAAAGTATAAATAACCTCTTGTATCATGAATAAATGTTCAAGTCTAATAGTGGTGGTTTTAATTTGGCATAATGGAGGGGTTAGTGAAGCAAAGATAGTTGATAGTTGGGGGCAACTTTATACGACATGATCCATGCAGAATCACAAGTAATATTTTGACATTGAAGACATCATAAATTGATATCACTTCAAATTTTTTCGTTCATTGCTCTGTTTTGAGATTCGCTACAAAGGTGTTCAACAGATTGCCAAAAGACAAGTGAAAAAAGTAAGCAGCAGTTCAACTTTATTTACCTTTATATCTCTGTGCATTTTTCCTTTGCTGTGAAGATAATATAAACCCTACGGCAAAGGAAGAAAGAACATTTATTGCATTAATTATAAAGCCACTGATTTCAGCTAATCAAACAGATTTTAACAGTTACACATATGCACAAATAGTCAAATACGAATTTCCAAATGCAAATATCAACTGAAATATTTGTTTTACCTCAGATTCCAAGAAACATTAATCACATTTATTTTTAGAAAGAAGTGACAAGATGGAATGGTTTTACAAATTAAAGCAGAGGAGCTTTAAGATGATATTCAGAAACACTTCTGCAAAGAAACAGAAAGCATAAATCTATAATACAAGAATCTAAAAAGCTGAAGCAAGATGGATTGCAGCGATAGTGGCAATATCACTAGATAAATCAGTGGCTCAGATTAACATTCATGGATATCTTTTAATCGACCTGATCAGGGATGTTTTACACACCTTTGGAGCAGGTGGGACTTGAACCCAGGCCGCCTGGCCCAGAAGTAGGAACACTACAACCGCCCTATAAGGCGCTAATGTTCTGGGCACACATTCAAATCCCACAATAATCAGCTAACTTAAATTCAATTAACTAATTGAAGTCTGGAATTAAAAGCTAATCTCCATGATAGTGCAATGGAACGATCAACTGCCATTCAAAATCTGTTGTGTTTGCACGATCTGGTCTACATGCGGCTCCAGGGTGACACGAGTGTGGCTGGCTCTTAAGTGCTTTCTTAAATGGATAAGCAGCCATATTAACTCAAGGGAAAGAGAGGGACAATAAGGACTGGTTTTGCCAATAACACCGACATTCCCCCCAAAATGAAGAAACTGAAAATTCCAAAACACTGACCAATAGACTTATGTAAGTCAAGGAACTTAAGCATTACAGAACCAAGACAGGTAAAATGGCATCGCTACAGAATAGTCAAGATCTAACTAAACAGTAGCTCATTCTCAAGGAACTATAACTGTTCCTACATTTCAACTGGAATTAATTGGGGTATTGTTTTGGCAGTTGCACAGCATTATCTGCAAGCTTAAAGGCTATCATTGCCTTATAGATTGCCAATCTAGAGAATCACAGTTATGCCCAACTACATCCTTGACAACCATCCAGATGTGCCCGGCGGCAGTTGCCAGACATCCAAAAATAACAAACGTGGTCTGATTCTCCTTACCCAAATGAAACTAATGTAGCAATCACTATCACCTCAAATCATATCAGCTAAAAGAGCACGAACCAGGAATCAGACCTTGAGTTGTCCAGGTCTATATGCCTTAACAATTCACAGGAAAATGTCATGGAGTGTTTTTGGCACCAAGCAAGTGAACTTCAGAAAATACATTTAGGGTTTTATCTCCCTTATGAATTTCCTGCACCAGCCATTCCCACAGCTATGATAAATTTACCAAAATTGAACATCTGCTGATCTTCCTAAGCAAGGGCTACTTTCCTACATTGCCAAAGTGTCCATATATCAAAAGTACTTCACTGCCTGTAAACAGCTTTGATGAAAAGCACTAGATAATACAAGTCATTCTTTTCTTTTTCCAACTCATCAGTCTAAAGCAGGTCCAAAACCAGGTCCCAAAGATGAAAGGAAATGCCATAATCCACTGGGTTATGCCCACACTAAAATTCATCAAAATTCACAGTGAAATTGGAATGGATTGTTAATCTGCAATAGGTATTTACTTAAAGATTGTAATTGCTTACCTGTAGCGTTTCTCTACACACATAAGCAATCTGTAGTTCTGCTAAAGGTCCTGTCACTGTTAGAATGTTAAGAAAATAATGAAATCAATGAAATAAGTATAACTCGAGTAAATTAACAATTGAGGATATTTCCACAAATTGAACTAAATCACAACTTCAGTAAAGTATTAAACAATGCAGGAACAGCTTTTTCCTAGATGATGCAAGCCCTCGCTTTAAACTTCCCAAATTTTCATGTTGTTTCAAAATCGTTTATTGTTTGAGGTGCGTTTTTCCAATTGATGTCACGATTTTTATTTAAAAGTCAGTCTGTGCATCCTTGCCAAGTTGCATGTCAATATCAGAGTTGTGAGTCATCACTGCAGATCAGCATACTGCCTACCTCCCAGTCACTTTATCCCCCGTTTGTTCTGACTACGAGCAAGGGAACTGCACTACATCTGTATACTTAGGCCATTCCGGGAGCAGTACATTTGCTCTAATCCCGGGGAGGAGAGTGAACTGGAATCAATTGCGGGAAATTCTGGCCACTTGACAATGGGATCAAAAGCAGGAAGAGACAAAACATAATCAGCAAAGAAGAGAAACACAGTCAAACAGGTAAGGCCAAAGGTGAGTTGCAGGTGGTGTCAGCATTTGCAGCTACTGTGGTCATGACCACGTTTCCCTGGCTTGGATTTATTTTTTATTTTATTTGAGGGGGGTTTGCAACTGTTGCTGGGAGAACCCAGAGCCACCCAGGTTTCTAGTAACCATCGTGGAGGAGAACATAAAAGAGCACTGCCAGGAAGGAAGAGAGTCATAAGGAGCACAATATTTCCACTTCATGCAAGAAATACAAATTCCTTCACATTTAGCTCTTCCTTCTCACTTTTATTGCTGAAGAGGATATTATTTACGAATACTATAGTAGGGCTGGGATTTCCAATTGATATGCCATCCACTTCATACTTCAGATATATTGCCTTGGTAGAAAAGCTGCCCAGAGTTGCCAGAAATGCTCATTTTTAAATACACCATGCCAACTGCAAAGTTTTTCCTTCAAATAATATGATATTTCTTCAATCTTGCACATTGGATATCTCTCTGCCCAGAAAAAACACGAATCTAGCACTTGCTTTAACCTTGATTAACTTATAAATCACATATCATCATTGCACTATAAATTATCCTTTTCAGAAAACATACTTAGCTTCATCCCAGTTCAGAATCCAATCTCTCAATTTAGGGCGGTACGGTGGCTCAGTGGTTAGCACTGCTGCCTCACAGCGCCAGGGACCCAGGTTCGATTCCATCCTTGGGCAACTGTCTGTGTGGAGTTTACACATTCTCCCCGTGTCTGCGTGGGTTTCCCCCGGGTGCTCCAGTTTCCTCCCACAGTCCAAAGATGTGCAGCTAGGTGGATTGGCCATGCTAAAATTGCCCATAGTGTTCAGGGATGTGTAGATTAGGTGGGTTGCAGGGGAATGGGTCTGGGTGGGTTGCTCCGAGGTTCAGTGTGGACTTGTTGGGCCGAAGGGCCTGTTTCCATACTGTAGGGATTCTATGATCTATGATCTATAATATTTTCTTTTAGCCCTAAGATTATTTTTTTTGGAATATTTCCTTCTATGTTTTTCTCAAAGAGCCATGCATCCACCAAGATTGACTAAATGCCACTGAACCTTCATTGCTGCTTATTGTGAATTTCTTCTCATATCCAAAACAATACCCTATCTGATTGCCTGCCACCTCGCGTGACCACACCATCCTCGTTCAAAACCTCTGTCATCCAGCAGGGTGAGAATGCTTTCACATGGTTACACTCATCTAACAATAGTCAAGGGATCGCTCAGTTATTTCTTTTTGAAAACAATAATTTCTCTTCCTCCTCTCCAACATTTAAAAGCACAGAGTTAGCATTCACATATACAGTAACAACACCCAGCTTCAACTCAGCACAAGTTCTCTCAATTCCTCCACTGTTTCCAAGTTATCAGGTTGTCTATTCAACGTCCAGTACCAGAAGACAGATAATGCCGCCAATTAAATATCGGGAAGACTGGAGCCATTGTTTACAATTCGCATTCCAAACCTCTGTTCCTCAGCTACACACAGCATCCCTCACCCTGACAGCCAAGAGATTCAGCTATTTGTAATCTTGGTGTCACATTTTATCCAAAGATAAGCCTCAAATCTCATTTGAACTAACACAAAGAGCATCCATTTCCAACTCAATATTGTTCCACTTCTCTCCCTGTCTCAGCTCATCTGCTGAATCCTCATCCACATTTTTGTTAATTCTACACTTGACAATTCCAACAACTTGACTGGTTTTGCACATTCCACCATCCATAAACTTTCAATCTCCCAAATTTCTGCCACCTTTGCCTCGCACCAAAGTCAATTTCCTTCCCACCCGTGCTCTGATCTATATTAGTCCTGATCAAGCAATGTCTTGATTTTAACAATCCCAAGATTGCTTTCAAATTCCTCCATGACTTCACTCAATATCTCCCTAATCTTATCCAACTTTATCACCCTCCAAGATATCTAGCTTATTTCAGGCCAATTAAGCATGTTGAATTTAAAATGGTCCTCCACAGGTAGCCACACTTTCAGTTGTGGAGGCTCAAAACACCGGAATACCCTCCTTACACCTGCCTATTTTACTTTCCTCCATTAAAGGCACACCTTAAAATCAAACTTTTTGACCAAGCTTTAGTTATCTCACCTATTATCTCCTTTTTTGGCTCATTGTCAATTCTTCCGTGAAGCACCCCAAAATGCTTTATTGTCAGCTTTATGACATTAAAAGCAAGTTGTTGTTGTCATTCTGAAGCATGTATCACTCACCAGAAAGCACAGGGATACCACCTGTTTTTTGGCCTGTTAATTGAACCCTAACTGGCTGCAAGGACAAGTTATCTGTTTCACCAGACGGCGCATCCGTCATTTGATTGAGTCTCATGTCAAACAGAAGACTCTGCCACAAATGGGAATTTCATTCCAACATGTCATTTACAAAAGCAGAATGCCCACGAAGAAATTATATTTACTTTTAAAAAACAGTTACTGTATGGAATGTACAGCCTAAAGGGTTCGTGGAAATAGATTCAATGGCAATATTCGGAAGAGAATTGGATAAATAATTCCAAAGTGAAAATTTTCAGAGTTACAGGGAAAGAGCACAGGAGTTAAGACTACGTGGACAGCAATACCAAAGAGCTTGCACAAGCACGATACACTAAATGGCTTGCTTCTACGCTGTATTATTCTAGAATTTTCTGCTGCACAGTGTTGCTGAACCTTCATGTTGTAGTGCAAGACCATCAACTCCATCGGTTTTCAAACTGGCTTCACACAAGGTTTCAACAAGGGCTATAGTTTAAGCAAATCTGACAAAGTTTCTCATTAATTTGTTGACAATACTATGCAGTTTTACAATAGAGTTAGTTACACGAGCAACTAGTATTCAGTTGAATAAACAAAACAAAAAGATAAGATAAATCACAGTGTATTTTATAGTCCAGAATGATTAAAATTATGGAACAGTGCAACTGATATCAGACAATTAACAATATTTGAAAAGCTAAGTACAAAGTCAGTAAATAGGAATCAGCGTAGAACAAATTTCAACTTATGATTTAAACATGGCAATCTAAGTATGTTACAGGTTTTAACGAAAACAGTAATACTACTTTAACATCAAGATTATTTACATAGTACTGAATATAATGAGTGAAACTACAATACTTTACAGTTTATGAAACAGGGTACAATATGAAGTATGCATGTATTTCTAAGCATTCTTAAAAGAAGTATTTTATGCTTACCATGATAAATATCTTGTAATGATCCACCTCCACAAAACTCCATACAAATCCATAGCTTGTCACGTCTATATTTTAAAAAAATCTGCATTTTAATGATTCTTTACAACCAGACCTCCATGGTATCATTTCAACTGGTGAGAACAGAGGATATTAATTTATTAGCATTAAGGGCTAGATCTGGTAAAAAGTCTCAGGATCTCCCATAATGCTGACAAAAGATCACTGGGCTTGAAATGTTAACTCTGCTGTTCTCTCTACAGATGCTACCAGACCTACCGAGTTTCTCCAACACTTCGTTTTTGTTTCAGATTTCCAGCCTCCACAGTTTTTTGTTTTATAATTTTGGAGGGTTCTTGTGGTGCAGTGATAATACTGCTACCTGTGAGCCAGGAGACCTGGGTTCAAATCCCATTTGCTCCAGAGCTGTGTAATAACATCTCTGAACACGTTGTTGAGAAAATCTCTACCATAATTTTGAAGTCGCCTTCAAGACCTGACAGGACAGAAAGGAATGTCATAGATTCAAATGTTGTGGAAATAGAGGTCCAGATATCAGTGAGATCTGGATGAAATGAAGAACAAATTCTTTTTGCGTAGTAACATTAGAACCAGCCATGAAACTATTAGGGAATTCTATTCAGTGGAGTCAGGATCTTTGACACAAAGGAGGTCACAGGATCCAGGAGTTTAGATTAGTGGAGGAAGTCTGTAAGAGACCTAAAATCAAAATGATTTTCATACCACTAGGGGCCAGAGAGATCTGGACTCATTGGAGAACAGGGTCTTGCTTTTTTTTTTGGAGATCGAAGTGCCAAAATGCTGTTGGATTCTTTCAATACTAGCTCCTGCACGTTCCATGCACATCAAATATGCCCAAACACTACTGTCCAAATTGTCAGCCAATTCCTTCCATTTTCAAGGATGAGAGTCAAAAGATCTTCCTCTGCTTTTTTTAAGTCATGATTGGAAAATCAGTCTGAGGTGTGCATGACTTTAAGGTTGACTATTTCGATAGGCAATTTCCACAAGCAACCAGAAATTCCCTATTAAAACACTGAATGTTCATCAGTACATTTCCAAGTTTTTCGTGTAAAAGTGATACCTGAAAAATTGAATTCTGAAGAGACATTGCACTCAAAACATTAAATTTTTCTCTCTCCATAGATGCTGCTGAACCTGCTGAGTTTCTCCAGCAATTTTTTTTTTTACTTCAAAAATTGGTTAGTTTAAATTTGATGTAAAACTTGACAAATGAACAATGAACCAATGCCCCTTATGACAGGTTTCTTCACTCACACACACAATTTCTCTTATTCCTATTAAAACTTCAGGTTTGCACAGGTTAAGATCACAAGACATGACAGCAGAAGGCCATCAAGTCTAGTCCACCATTCTATGAGATCATGGCTGACCTAATAGTTCTCAACCCCACCTTCCTGCCTAAAAATCTGCTCCAGCCTCGAATGTATTTAATGACCCAGCTTTAATAGCCCTCTGTGGCAAAGAATTCCACAAATTCACTACCCTAGGAAGAAATTCCTCCTCAGTTTTTTCCTAATTGGGTGACCCTTTATTCTGAGATTATACACTCCGGTCATAGAACCTCCCACAAAGGAAACTACCTCTCTGCACCTATCCTGTCAAGTCCCCTAAAAACCTTGTATGTTTCGATAAGGATGCCTCTCATCCTCCTACATTACACTAAGTACAGGCCCAACCTATTTAACCTCTCCTTATGACAGAATACTTTCAAACCCGGGATCATTCTAGTAAACTTTCTCCAGACTACCTTCAAGCGCTGATGTATCTTTCTTTAATAATCAAACTGATAATATTCATAGTATTCTAGGTGTTTATTTATTTTACAGAGATAGACAGGTCAAGTGAGAGGGCAAATCTTTGCAGTAGAATATACTGTAAAAAAAATGAGGTTATGCACTTTGGCTGGAAGAATAGCGGAGCTGAACGTTATTTAAATACAGAAAATCACAGGAAGCTGTAACGCAGAGGGATATGGAAGTTTTCACACACAAATCACAAATGTTAGCGTACAAGCTCAGCAGATAAGAGGAAAGGCAAAGAGAATGCAGGTCTTTATTGCAAAAAGAATGCAGTATGAAAATAGAGAAGTCGTGCTAAGCCTATGCAAGGTTCAAATCAGGCTGATGTGTATTATCAGCTTGGAATTCATTACCTGCCTTTTAGCACATGGAACAATATGAAATAAGTATAATTTTCTAACCAATATAATTAAACAGCATTATACTGCACTTCCATCACAAAGGTAGCCAGTAATAAATAAAACTGTCATTTTTACACTTCTATCTGCAATTACACCTATGAGGTGAACGCTACCAAACCGTTTTCACAAGTTACTGTGATGTAAACTGTGTGTATATTTAATATCATTTATTGTTAATTTGGGTTTTTTGAGATAATAACCTGTGGGCTGTGTCTGAAATTAATTATTAACTTGTAATTTTTTTTTTCAAAACAGTTTTTGAGGCCTGGCTTTAGAATGAATGGGTTTTTGTTCACCACTAATGGACATTTTTTTTTGTTGATCTTCAACTATTTTCCTTCCTGGTTTGCAAAACAATGCAGCTCAAGGTTTGTTAGAGACTTCTGAAACTTGTTTTTTTTTTCAGCGTAAAGGAAACACTCGGTTTAGAGAGAGACTAAGTTTCAGTTTTAGAGTTTTGAGCAGTCTTGTTAAATCCTTGGAACAGGATGGCTGTAAATATCAGTGCTCCTGAGAAGTAAAGGATACATAATGAACTAGATTACCTTAGAATGAAGAGTTAGTACCAACTCCAGACTAGAAGAGCTAGACTAAAGCTCTGAAGAGATTACTTAAAGCTGAGTACATTTAAACTCAGGTGTATGAGTGTTCCTAAAATAACTCCATGAAGGCCAGTATCCCATCACCAAGTCACCCTTTATTTACACATGCATAATACAAGACACTGACCCAGCTAACTCAATGCCAGCTCCTCAGGTGATCAGAACCCCTGACACTCCTGTTTATATCTGTCAGCCAGGACTCCCTGATTGGAGCTGTTAACCTGGTCCAATCAGGGGTCTACCTGGTTGACCTTGTTCCAACCACTACAATTTGAAGAGGAAGCTATTTGCAATTCCAACCTAAAAGGTGAAGTCATAAGTGACTTCGATGTGAATATTGTATGTGTGCTGTTTTGGATACTGTATCAGTCATGTGTTTTGGGTATCCTGGATTCAGTTTATAAAGGTGTGTTTTAGGATTAACATGTCTATGCTTGTACTATATATTTGGAAGTCTCTGAATTTGCATTAATAGTAGATCGTTTGACTTATTTTATGTTATCCTCATTCTTTTGCTTATACAATTCTGTTTCATTGTCAAAGCAAAATCTACATGATTATAATTCAACCAGAGACCACCTTGTTAAAATCAAAACAATATGATCCGTCAATCCAGGTTACTCTCTGGGTTCTGACTTGTCCAGTAATATCATCTGCTTGGATCATAACACAAATTAAAATGTTAATCTGCTTTTCAAAATAATTTAAAGTAAAACAATGGTTTAGGCTACATGCAAGTTTAGATCAGAGATATCTTCAAGAACATTAAATGGTTCACATTACCTTAGAATGAGAACTATTGAGAATTTTAATTAAATCTGCATCAATATACTATTCCCTACTTTTACATTTGTGTAAACTCTAACCATCAGACTACTACAGAATTTTTAAAACTCTATACTCTGAATTTCATACAAAATTTAAAACACAAATCTATATAGTTGGCCAGATTACAGACATTCACTCACTTACAAGATAACTCATTAAGGATCTTTAGCATTTATTGGAAACCTTGAAGGTGCAGTTCCAACAGGAGCTATGAGCACAGGTCAACTGCAGTCACCCAGGTTATCCAAATTGCAATATGTAATTTGGCAACTAAATGAACAACAGGAATCCTTATCAGATTTATGAACAATGTAAAAATGGATTCTCTTTACATCAACTCTCATAGACGAGATGGGAGGTCTAATATCTAACTTCACATGTAGCTGCAGAGGCATCAGTAATTTCAAAAAATAATCACTGCCTGAAACTACAGAAGAGGACAACCTTTAGTTTTTCCAGCTGGATCAGCTAAGTGTTTGATTATAAGACTTACAAAACTTCTAAATTTTAATTTTTTTTTAATAAATCTTACAATAGTGAGTAAGGGAAAGGCATTTTTTTTTTAAATTATGTTTATACTGAGATCAGTTTCTTGACTGACTTTTAATATTACGGATTGATTTTAGGTTACCCCCGAGCAGTGTTTTTGAGCAAAGCGTGCTGTGTTTGTTTTTAGATAATTTCTGGGTCTAGAGATTGTTGAAGAGACAGAAATGGCTTTTAGTAGGGTGACGTGCACTTCCTGTTAGCTGTGGGATATCGGGGAGAATTTGAACGTTCCTGGACACTATGTCCGTTGGAAGTGTGTGTGGCTACATATCCTATTGGACTGTATGGATCAGCAGTTAGAAGCAATGAGAAGTTTACAAGAGCAAGGGGGTGTGATGGAGAGCAGTTTCAGGAAGATGGAGATAAAGTCAGGTAGATGGCTGACCGCTAAGGATGGTAGGAGAGGTAGCCATATAGTGCAGGAGTCTCCCGTGGCTATCCCCATCTCAAATTGGTACGCTGTTTTGGATCCTGTAGCTTCTCACGGGGAGTAGAGCACTGACAGCCAGGTTTCTAGTACTGTAACTGGCTGTACTGTAATGAGGAGTATGTCAGGTTCCAAGTGATCGATTGTAATAAGGGACTTTCTAATCTGGGGCACAGACAGATGCATCTGTGACCATCAACAAGGCATCAGGATGGTGTGTTGTCTCCCTGGTGCCAGGGTCAAGGATGTCTCAGAGGGTGTAGAATATTCTGAAAAGGGAGAGTGACCAGCAGGAGATGGTTTTGCACATTGGTAACAATGACATAGTTAGAGAAAGGGATGAGGTTCTGTAGAGAAAATATAGGAAGCTAGAGAGGAGGTTAAAAAGTAGGTCCTCAAGGGTAGTAATATCTGGACTATTACTGGTGCCACATGCTAGTGACAGTAGGTATGGGAGGATAGAGCAGATGAATCTATGAGCAAGGAGCTGGTGCAGGGGGCAAGGATTCATATTTTTGGACTATTGGGATCTCTTCAGGGTAGAAATGACCTGAAAGAAGGACACAGTTTCCACCTGAATTGGAAGGGGACCAATATCCTTGTGGAGAAACTTGCTAGTGCTCCTCAGGAGACTTTTTTTTTGTGGTGGTGATGCTGCCAGATGAGGTGGTAGAAGCAGGTGCAATTGCAATATTTAGAAGGCACCTGGATAGGTGTATGAATCGGAAGGATTTAGAGGAATATGGGCAAAATGCAGGCAAATGGGATTAGGTCAGATTGGGATATCCGGTCGGCGCAGACAAGTTGGACTGAAGGGCCTATTTCTGCGTTGTATGACTCTATAACTTTCCTTGAAATCGTACTGGATACTTTAAACGAGCAAAATTATGCAGATTTGAGTTGCAAATTTTGTCAATTTTTTTTTAATGTAAAACTGAAAGGAATATCTTAGGTGAGCTGGGTTGTTAAAAGCATATGTAGAAAGACAAACACAATACTAATGCAGATGATGGTTATAATTACCAAAATTTCTTAATCCAAGGAAGCGCCAATTACTTTAGCTTATGATGCCATCCTCATAACAAATGGTGTCATATCTGACCCAACGATGAGCTTCTAGGCACATATTTACACCATCTTGAAGATTACCTATTTCCAGTTCCATAACATTGCTCAATTTCTCCTGTTTCAATCAACAGCTGCAGAAATTCTCATCAATATCTTTGTTACCTATCCTTGGCTATTCAAACCCACTTCTGGTTTCCCACATTCTACATTCTGTAAATGTCAGGTCATCCAAAACTTAGGTATTTTGGACACAAATCCACCTACCACGTCTTTGGTCACAGTTCCTGGAACCGAGCAACATAGCCATTTTAAAATTCTCATTCTCATTTTCAAAGTCACCTACGTATCTATTATCACTGCCAGTGCCACAACATTCATCACTACCACCACTTTACAGAAGCCTGGAAAGCTACAAAATACCCCTGACCTCTCTCTAATGTATTCTTCCTTTAATGCACTCTTAAAGCAAACTGTCCAACCAGGCTTTTGGTTATCTGACACAATATCTCATGTACTCAGTGTCATATGCTTTGTGTTCCTATGAAATTCCCTGGAATATCTTACTACGTTAAAAAGTACCAACTGTTGGGGTGATCTCTGATAAATTTGCTTCAAGTATACCAGTTATTACTGATTGCGTTTATGGCTGTTCTACTTCTAAATATGTTCCTGGCACGTGCAAATACATATAAATTGAAATCACACAGCCTTAAAGTCCACCCGTCTCCCTTACAACATAGCCTGCTTGTGCTATTGTCAAATTGACCTTTAAAGTTAATTATCTCTGATTTGCAATTTTTTTTGATCGAATGAAGTAAGTGTTTTAAATGTTTTTGGTTTTAATGAATGCTTTTAAATCAATTTAGCTCCAACTCTCAAAGCAAAACCATAGAATCACAGAATTCCTCCAGTGTGGAAACAGGCCATTCGGCTCAACAAGTCCACACCGCCCCTCCGAAGAGCGTCCCACCCAGACCCATTCCCCTATCCCTGCATTTCCCATGTCTAACCCACCTAAGCTAAACATCCCTGAACACTATGGGCAATTTAGCAGCTACCCTGCACATCTTTGGACTGTGGGAGGAAACCGGAGCACCCGGAGAAAACCCACTCAGACACGGGGAGAATGTGCAAACTCCGCACAGACAGTCGCCCGAGGCTGGAATCAAACCCGGGTCCCTGGTGCTATGAGGCAGCAGTGCTATCCACTGAGCCACTGTGCCGGTGAAAAATATTTCAATAGGACACCTTACAGCAAGCATAGCAGACTTTCTGTTGCCAGATCTCCAGCTAAGAAAGACCTGCTATTTTATAATCTTGCCTTTTTGCTGTTGATTCTGAAGTCAACATGATCCTAACCTTTAACGGTAATAGACTTCAAGCTTGCTTTAACTGCATTTATTCAAATTTCTACATCTAAATTTAAACTTCTAAAACTAACTGTTTTATAAGAGAACACATGAATGTGATATTCACAACTCTGTCCTTAAATATGGAGGGCAAACAGTTCTCTAGGTATGGTCTCACCAATGCCCATACAATTGTGCTATGGCTTCTATATTCTTACACTTCAATGCCCTTGCAATAAAGGCTAACATACGATTTGCCTTCCTAATTGCTTGCTGCACTTGCATGCTAACTTTCTGCATTCCTCATAGGAATGCATCTAAAATTCTTTGAACATCAACAGTTAGAAATTTTACGCTTATTAAAAATGGAAAAACAGAATATTTTCTACGACCAAAGCAAATAACTGCACATTTCCACACAGTTTACTCCATCTGCTAACTTGTCACTTAATTATATCTGTTTGCAGTATATTCCATCTAGCTTTGTATCACCTGCAAGCTTAGATACATTACTCTCTGACTCTTCAAAGTTATTAATGTAGATTGTAAATAGCTGAGGCTCCAGTACTAATCTTTGCAGCATTCCACTAGTTACAGCTGGTCAACTTGAAAAATGCCTTGTTTATATCTACTTTCTGCTTCCTGTTCATTAATCAAATCCCTGTTTATCTATTTTCCCGATTCTATTTAGGTAGGTTGGTTCTGATCTGGGGTATTTATTACATTAAAATATTTTACATAAAGATAAGTTGTATTGGACATGCACACAAAAGGGAAACAGCACAACTGCAACAGAACTGTCGGCAAGCTCAACTGTATACAACTAGTCATCAAAACGTGTCTGACACATTAAAAAGGCAAAGATTTCTGTTCAATTTAATCATTAAAAACTTTAGTAAATGCAGGTACGAGCACATGCATAATACAGCATAACCCCTCAAAGACAGCGATTACACAAAGAATAGCAAGAAACAAAGTAAAATAAGTATGCCAGTATACTTACTATACGTACCTGAGATAACTGCCAAAATATGCAACTATGTTTGAGTGTTTACAGTCTTTCATCATAATGATCTCCTGCTGTACAATGGCAAAGTCTTCACCTATACAGAGGAAACATTTTAGTTAAATAACAGATAGACAAATCAACTTGGACAAGTCAACATTCACAGCAGCGAGAGTCACCAAAAAGGTAAAACACATTTTAGGCAGAAAATAGAAATATGGAATAGTTACAGCATAGAAGGTGGCTACTTCACCTGTCGTGTTTGGGATGGCTCACTAAAGGAGCAATTCGTTTAAGCCATTCCTTAACAGCACTCTGCAGCCCTGCGCATTCTATCCTCTCAGATAACAATGGCATGGCGACTCAGTGGTTAGCACTGCTGCCTCACAGCGCCAGGGACCTGGGTTCAATTCCACCCTCGAGTGACTGTCTGTGTGGAGTCTGCACATTCTCTCCGGGTGCTCCGGTTTCCTCCCACAGTCCAAAGATGTGCAGGCTAGGTGGACTGGCCATGCTAAATTGCCCATGGTGTTCAGGGATGTGTAGATTAGGTGGGATGCTCCAAGTGTCGGCGTGGACTTGTTGGGCCGAAGGGCCTGTTTCCACACTGTAGGGATTCTATTCTAGGATCCCTTTTGAATCCACCTCCAACACAATCTCACAGTGTGCTCCAGGTCCTAACCACTCGCTACGTGAAAAAGTTTTTACCTTGTATCATGATTGCTTTAATGTCAGTTATCTTAGATCTACAATCTTTGGTTCTCCATCCATCTGCTGCTGGTGACAGTTTTCCCACATATATTCTGTCCAGACCCTTCATGATTTTGAACACTTCCCTCCAATCACTTCTTAAATCTTCACATTTCAAAAAAGAATAGTCGTAACTTCGCCAATCAAACTATCCAACTGAATTGCCTCATCCCTAAAACCATTCGCCAAAATCTTTCCCGCACCCTTTAATGCCTTCACATCAGTCCTAAGGTGCAATGGATGCTTTAGTAGCTACTCAAAAACAAAACAAAAAACACTGATAAACAGCCACACATGAAACATGAATTTGTCAGTCTCTCCAGAAATGCCACTTGACCTGGCTGCTGCAATAAATGAATTAACATTTAGCATCTACATATTGTTTTCTGTTTTTAAATGATTTAAAATGTTTGTTGCTAACTTAGGTCTGTTGTCATGTTCTAATTTAAATACTGTGGTGTCCAAGAAATGAGTGTTTTCCTTCTGTGGTGTGGCTTTAAGTTTAATGGAGTGAGGGTAACTGAAATGGAGGATAACTTGATGAATTCCAATTCTGCTCTTACACAAGTCCAAAATACCCCATATATTAATGCAAACACTGAAAACATTCTTACTAAACGACTGTATCACCCAATAAATGAGTTAACAAGAATGAAAAAAAAGCCCCTGAAAATCAAAATGCAGCCTTCAAGAAAAACTCAAAAGAGCTCTTGGAAAAAAATATTTAATGCTTGAACAAAGTATCCTGAAAGTATTTGTTCATTCTCAGTTTCTTCAGAACAAAAAAAAAAGACGGACAATCTAAAACACTCATTTCAGGATTCTACGTAATGTTAAACATGGATAGTTTCCATTTGACAGCATTTTTGGACATACCAAATCAAGGAAAAAAAATGAAATGGCAAATCTTCAAGTTATTACCTACTATTTCAAAAGCAATATTATTTATTGGGATTACTGACCGTATATTTCCTTATCACATTCACCCCTCATTTCCCTGTAATCCTGTCATATTTGGAATTCTAGAATCCCAGCTAACCTTTTATAGGCATCATATAGCTAATTTCATTTCATTTTCCCTCTCAAATATTATACATTGCGTAAGTGGAATGAAAAGGCTTCATTTCTATTGTTGCTTTCACACAAATGAACTGACAAACATTGCTGGCATTTATATTTTCATCCGCGTATCCATGGGGATGGGAAAGAGAATTAAGTCTGACTTGTGTTTGGGATACTCAGTTGCTATGCATTTGCTTCACTTCTTGAAGGTATTCAGACACAGTCTGACAGAATTAAATGTTTATCATACCTCAGGGATAAGTAGTTGATCACTCAACATTCCCAACAAATTTTTGTTCAGTGAATGGTTTGCATCATTGCACAATTCAATGTTGTTGCTACTTTGTTTTTGGTCCACTGAAGCAGTATCTATAAACATCTCTAACTCTTTCAGCTTGTCTGGTTTATACATTGAAGCAATCATAGTCAATCTAATGCGGCATTTTGCAATGTCACGGAACATTTGGCCAAGCCCCTCAAAAGAACAGTACTAAGAATAGACCTTTCCAAACTGCCAAGAAAACCAAATCAAGCAGGCAAATTCTGCACGATAAATGGATTTCAATTAAGGGCTGACTAAAGAAAACACAATAGAAGCAAAAGTAGACCACTCAGCCCCACGAGGTTGTTCCACCATTCAACATCATGATTAATTCATTTCTGCTTTGATTTCCACATTTTCATTTACCCTAAAATCCCCTGTCCAATAAGAATCTATCCACTTCAGTCTTATAAATATTCAATGACCCACTTCCACTACCATCTGAGGCAAAGAGTTCAAGGGACGCATAACCCTCAGAAAACCATTCTCATCTCTGTTCTGAAAGGGAAGGTCTAATTTTAAAACCGTTACCGGTGGTTCTGAACTGACCTATAAGAGGTAGCATTCTTAGCACATCAAAATTGTCAAGGCCATTCAGGATCTTATTCATTTCAAGTCACCCCTCTCTCTTCAAAGCTCCAGTGAAAACAAGTCTTAATTCAACCCACTCATTCCAGGTATCAATCTAATAACTGATAAACAGAAGACCCCTCCACAACTTTTCAAACCTCCCTGGACACAGGGAGGAATGATACACCCTTGTTCGAGAGAGCGATAAAGCCAAGACCAACTTTTCCCTATAACTACATTAACTTTCAGCTGCTTTTGTCTTGTTCAATTAATACTTCATCTAGCTGCAACTTCTGACATAATTACACATGATAGTGTTGGAGTAAGTATGTCGAAGTGCAACATTCTTGAAAGTTAGGAAACAGACCTGGTTCTAACCCCCAAACCAGTGGGCACAGTACCATCTCCCACCACAATATAACTCCTCAATCAGCACCCTTTACTTTCTATTTTCTAAACTAGAAGTTTCTTACATGCACCCAGAATTTACCCAAATTGCCGCAGCTCTCATCTTGACTAACTGTCTGAATGTAAGTTAAAGGGGTCGACAGAGATATTGATAAGATGAGAGTTGGTTGCCACAGCACACAAATAGGAGTTATCCCTTATCCAACCTCTACATTTGTAGATGGTGCAGTGAGGAGTCTTTCAACTTTAAAAGTTCTGTCACTTAAGCATTGAATCAGTTACAAGACAGTGTGCAGTTGCACAGAAATACCACTGGGTGACAGCAAAGGAATCATTCCTTGGAGTATGAAATCAACATTTAGGGCTGTTATGGTGCAGCGGTAGAGTTCCTACCTATGGACTGGGAAACCTCAGCTCAAGTCTCACTTTATCCAGAGGTGAGTAATAACATCTGAGCAGGCTATTTAGAAAATAACTACTTATATCAACAGAACAACAACAAAAAGTGGTTGGCCCTGATAAGATGAGGATGGGCAACAAAGTGATGGCCAAAAGAAAAATTGACAAAGCATTAATAGAGATGAAGGAACAACCCACCCTGGGACAACAGAAGCAGCAACATAATAAATGCACACTAACCGAGGAAAGTCACATCCAGTGAAATCCTTGGCTCGGAGTACAGTGCAACAAAAGCACCATTCAGGAACAAGCCAACACGAGCAACAACAGATCTGCTGAAAAAGTAAGATTGGAATCTCACCTTAAAAGAATTCAACAGTTTATAAACGCAGGAACACACCTGAGAATCAGGACTCAATGAGACGTTTAGATGGTTATATTACATAATTTGAATGGCTTTAAAAAGTTGCCTCAATATGCATAGTGCAAAGGTCATTAAATGATTTGTTTTGACCTTGGGACATCCCGCTGAAAGTCAAAGCAAACTGCTGATTCTGCAGGGGCACAAAATATCTGGCCAGGAGGAAACAATTGCCATTTACCTGCCTTGGACATTCTGTTGCAGTAAGGTAATGTCACCATCTCTGAAGTTGAGGTGGTGATTAACAGCCAGCTCCCTTAGCAGATGCAAGGTAAGAAAATACTCTCTGGTTCCTCAACATATACATTCTGACACTAAAGGACAACTGCGGCTTTCTCACTGCTGGTATGGACCTGGCCAATCATTCAACTGCATCACTGATGCAGCTAGGTGATCCGGCAGCACTAACAGCTATTTGGAAGTTACATCCTGATTACTGATAGAAACAGTAAAAGACATCAAGCTGCACAGCATCTTCAGCAGATCTAAAGATGGTGTACACAACTGGTCAAGATCAAACAGTTCCATCCACTCCAGGATAAATTTCCTATTTCTGTCCTGGGCAAAATGACCAACACCAAGCCAGTGCCTCCTACTGACCAAGTGTCACTTACAGGAGGACCAGATGGATAGCAGAGGAGCATGGAAGCTTGGATATTAAAATACTAACCTCAAAATGAGGGACTCAAGAGGGATTACAAAATGTTGGAGAATTATGTCCATTCCACAATATTAAAAAGCAATCCAGGTGAATATCAACAGGTTCTGCAATCTTAAACTGTTCACCAGACATGAGAGAGACAAGTACAAAAACTGTCCAGATTCCAGAAAAGCATGCAGAATTTGTTGGTGTTACAGTTAATGGGATCAAAGTTAAACAGGATCTGAAAGGGATGAAGAACTAGAAAGCCACTTTTTTGCCTTGGAAGCAAAAGGTCCAAGGTTACCTTCCAGTCCAGAGACCGCTCAGTGGAGTGGGAGGAGATGTGACTGTGTTTCTTCTTCCAAAAAGACATGCAGTCTGCTCGGTGATCAGCAGCCTGAAGGGAGCAGACAGTTTGATAACACTGTTACAGTAGAACATGAAGTCCACAAACATCACAGACTCTCAGTCCTTTTTGTCCTCTACCACAGAGATCTTAAATGACAGTACGCAACAGAATGT